CACTTGGTGAAGACTTGAAGTGCTTCTGACAGGCCAACTGAAGGACTGTATATTGGCAGTGGGTGTTGTTCTCCAATAGCCTGGGGTACTTCCTGTGGGGCTGAATTGCAAGATGAAAATAAGCATCTTGCAAGTTGATGGGAGCCTATCAGTCTGCTGGATCCAGGGAGGGGATAATTGAAGCCAAGATACTGAGAAACCACTTGGTGAAGACTTGAAGTGCTTCTGACAGGCCAACTGAAGGACTGTATATTGGCAGTGGGTGTTGTTCTCCAATAGCCTGGGGTACTTCCTGTGGGGCTGAATTGCAAGATGAAAATAAGCATCTTGCAAGTTGATGGGAGCCTATCAGTCTGCTGGATCCAGGGAGGGGATAATTGAAGCCAAGATACTGAGAAACTTGAGTTTCTTCATAAACCTGTTGAATTTTCACAGGTCTAAGATGGGTCTGAGACTGCCTTTGGCTTTTGTTAGGAGGAAATACTGGGAACAGAAACTCTTGCCCCTGTGCTCCCAAGAAACATTCTCCACTGGCCCTAGACACAGGAGCAATTGCACCTTTGGATAAGGAGCTGCTCATGAAAAGAATTGCTGAAGAGGAACGGGGAAGGAGGGTGAAACAGTGGGAAGGCACAAAATTGGATGGAGTCTCCCTTCTCTACTGTGCAGAGCATTCAGCAATCTATGGTGATATAGGACTAAGCATGGTAGAAAGGGGCCAATAAGGAGAAGGTAAGACTGGATGGATCCAATTGGGAATCTGATGCACCATCCTTGACCACATCTTCAGAAAGCCTGTATCAGGCCAGAAGGTGGTCTGGATAGGCCAGAGCCCTGGCCTGAGGATGGTTATTGTCTTTTCCTGCCGCTCCTATTTCTTCTGAGAACCATCCTGGTTGTTCCACTAACAGAACCTCAGAGGAGGTTGCAACTTAATGTATCTCTTATGTGGCAGGAGTGTGCAGGCCCAAAAACTTGAAGGTGTAGGAGACAGGATTGCTGGGCCACTGGGCAATGCTGGGGGAGAGGCATGCTCCTGGATGAGGCAGGACCGTGACTGGAAGGGGCAGGGCTGGGGATCCAGCCCCCCAGCACTGCTCGGACAGCACTGTGCCCACTCCTTCACCAATCCTCAGACAGCAGTAGCACTTCACGCAGCACTCCAGTGGCAATTCTGCAGCAACAACCCAGAGCCCCAGGCCTTATAGAATCGGTGAGCCCTGAGGCAAATTTTCCCTTCCCTATCTCCCCATCGGCAGGCCTGGATTTCTGTCTTTTCAGAGAAAATCACATCCTGTCTTGAATGGCCCTGTTGGATCTCATAAGGAAACCCCAAGACCTGGGGCCAACAGCCTCTTTCCATGGCCATCCAAGTAGCCATGACCCTAGTGGTGGCATCAGCACCATCCACTGTGGCCTGGAGGAAAGCCTGGAAGAATATCTTTCTCCCCTCCACCAAGGCTGAGAATTCTGCTCAGGAATCTGAAGGGAGCAGCACTGCAAATCTAGCCAATGCTGCACATGTACTGTATGAGTATCTGCTGACAATGGCACACTGGTTTGAAATACAGAGCTGCAGACCACTGTAGACCTTTCTCCTGAAAAGGTCAAGTCATTTAACCTCCCTGTTTTTAGGGGAGGACCCTGGAAACCCATCCCCTCACTCTAATTAGCAACATCCACAACAAGACAGTTGGGAGCTGAGTGGGAGTACAAGGGCTAATAACTCTTGGAATGCATGAAATAACACCACTCATTGTGCTTGGCAGTGGTTGGCAAGGAAACTGGGGTCTATCACAGGGTCTTGGTGGTATCCATAATCGTCTTAACAAGTAGTATGGCAATACAAGAAGATCCATATTGGGGGCGGAGTGGGACTGCCAGAGGTTCCTCTCTTTCAGGGAGTGAGAAGGTGCAGCAGATCTCACAGAGGCTCAAAGCTTCTGATATCAAAGGAAGTGATGGCTGTGGTTCATAGAAACCTATGAGCATGGGGGAGGGGAGCTGACTTAACCGTTTCACCTGGACAGGAGTCCATGCAGTTGTAACCAGAGATCTGGAGCTGTGGCCCAGCTGGGTTCTCACATCCTTAGATTTAGCTGCAGGTGAACAACTGTCCTTCGTCTATTTCTTCTGAGACACTGGCAACTGAAACCAGTGCCTACTCTCAGCCGGGTCTCAAGAGGTGTGTGCCCGTGCCAGACGTCTCAAGACAAGTACTTTTCTTAGCACTGAACTTCATGATGCAGGAGTGCTCCTGTGCTGATAAGAAGGTGCTAGGAGTTGCTCCTCTGGGCCCATGTCCAAATGGGGCTGTAGAGCTGTCCCCATGAGGATAACAGTAAGCCACTGCTCCCTTTCTTTAAGAATTCTAGGGTAGAACTCATGACAGATCTTACAATAATCCTTTTGATGACTCGCCCCTAGGCACTATAAATACAAGGAGTATAAATCACTCTTTGGCACGTGCTTTGCACAGACCACACAGTTTTTAAACTGCAGGGACCATGGTATGCCACAACTCTAGGGAGTTGGAAGAAGGGTACAGACCTCCAAAAACTGTAACTACTAAGATAACTAATTATATACAAGAACACTAGAGTTGAATGTGCTTGCTTAAGCAGGGGCTATGGGAAATTCCAGGCTAACATCACTGATAGTAAGAAAGACTGATAGTGAGTGGCTCCATATTGAGCACCACCAAGGGGCAACTCCAGGAGGAGCTGGGATTGAGCTAACAGATGCTGCTATGGGAAAAATCTTCCAGCTATCATGCACATGTGCGCGCGTGCGCGCGCGCACACACACACACACACACACACACGATGGGAGTTGGCATAAACAAGCACTTGAAGAAGAATTAATGTTAGGCAATGTTAAGATTGAAAAATGCAGCATTTAAAATTCAGGAAATTCAAGGTAAGAGGTCCAATTAGGCCTGTCACTCTAGTTTTATATTGTTGTAATTCTACTGACTTCAATGGAGCCCATTCCTGATTTATACTAGTTTAAAATTAAAACTGAGCTTTTTACAGCAACATTTAATATGGATGGTGTCACCAGAGTCATGCTCATTTCAACATCCTTGGGCCCAGATTGGGTCCAGTGCAACTGCTTGTTGAGTAAGGTACTGTACTATTTATTATAAGGCTAACATAATCTAGCCCTAAGGAATTAATATTTTAATATTGGTAACACCCAATATGTTAACAAATTCTGGAAATAGCAATAAGCAGATTTAAAAGCATAGGAAACATGTGACAAAGAGGTATTTGTGGATTATTCTGATGGCATATATTTGATAACTAAACACAGAAAACAAATCCAAGTTTGTGTAGTAAGTTTGCATAGTTATCACTTCTTATTTTTTATATAAAAAACAGAGCCAGTGGAGTGGCCCATAAATTACATATAGTAAGGGGAAAGTGCATCATTAACTATTTTTGTTTAATATCTAGACAGTTTATATATCTGTACAGGGTGGAAATAAAACTCAGTTTACATACTTTGGATACTTCATCTTTACTCTCATTTAACTTCATTTGTTGATGAGATGATTCTTTTCTGCCAAGACCATTATCTAGTAAGAGCAAAACATCACAAATATTACTTTTACTACATTAACATTTATAATTATTTTCATTATTATGTATATGTAATATCATTGCATAATATTTTTAATTTAATGCCTGCTATCAGCATTCTCTGCACTAGTCAGAACAGAAGGAGAGGCTCACAAGCCTGCTGATGGGAAGGTGGAGTGCGGATAAAAGGGACAGTTGCCATGGGGTCCAGTGATTCAAAAGGGCCCGGGGTTCCCAGCTGCTGCAGCCGCCACTACTGCAGAAGCAGCAGTGGTTGGAGCCCCAGGTCCTTTAAATTGTCACTAGAACTATGTGTGGTGCACTCTGGGCAGTGCTGAAGGCTGCAAGGGGAGGGATAGTGTGGTGCATTCCGGGCAGTGCTGAGGGCTGGCTGCCCAGCTCCATGCATTCCAGAAGCATGGAGTTCCCCACCTTGCCCACAGGCCCAGCAAGTCTATCGGTGCCCCTGGAAGCACAGACACTATCCAGGGGAGCTTGTTAATTATTTTACTATAATTTCTCCATTTCAGTCTATTTATTTGTTTAATTTAAGAGACCATCCATTGAACTATTACATTAATAGACTTTGCTCCTGAGAGCTGATTTCAATAGGGCAACTTGCATCAGTAAGGATCACCCACAGGAGAAAGTCTTTTCAGAACTGTAAGCCTCTCAGGGCAAGATTTTTATCTTCATACCTCTTTATAAAGCACCTGAGATATTGTTGTAACTTTCCAACTATAAAATAATAATTTTCTTCTTCTTACACTATGTGATGCCACAAATACTGAGAAATAAGGCTTAGTCTTTAGGCATGTGTTTCATTTTAAGCACACACATAGTCTCATTGACTTCCATGAGTCTACACATATATCTAAAGTTCACAAGTAGTGGGATAAGTCTATGACAAATTTCAGGTTTCAAACATCAAACTATTTTTTGCTGGAGTCATAGCCAAAAAAAGGAGGTTAAATTTTCTGACCAAGGGATAAAAATATTTTCAACCACCATGTCAGGAGGCTGAAAAAGTTTTTCTCAAATTTAAAAAACAAAACAAAACAAAACAAACAAACAAACCCACTACATTCAGACAGGAGACAAAAAAAAGCAAGTTTCAAGCTCAGAGGTGAACATTTTGGAAAATTAGGAGTACAAAACAAGGGCTAAAATGGGAACTTTTGCAAAGCATGATTTGTAGTGAGTAACAATCACCTACTAGAAATATAAGCAAAAAAACCAGCAGGGGATAGAGATAGCTTTCTTGCTGTTCAAATCCAGCCTCAAAAATGATTTAAAAAACAATCTAATTAACTCTACATATTTTTACCTTTGGTTCCATCAAGTGATGTGCTCTTTGGCACTGTCTCAGAAACCATAGATGCTGAAGCTGAAGAAGGCCTCTTCAGGACCTTTTATAAATTAAATAATCAGAAATCAAAGGTCTTAGTTTTTGTAACATTAAGCAAGGATAATTTTGGGTATTTTAAAAGTATTGTATTGAATATTCACAGTTATTTAAACACATATCACTTCAGATATCTGCTAATCACTATGCAGGATCAGAATCATTGTGCCATTGACTTCAATAGGAGCAGAATCAAGTCTTATATAAATCTAAGAATGGTTTGTAGTTGAGGTTAAAATAATTTTTTTTATACTGAATATTTTTTTACACTAAAATAATTTTTTTTTTACAACAGGAATATTCTGACATCCTGACTCATACCCAAAGGCTGTGTCTACATTGGCACCCTTTTCCGGAAAAGGGATGCTAATGAGACCATTCGGAATTGCAAATGCCCCGGAGATTTAAATTTTCCCCGCGGTATTTGCATGAACATGACTGCCGCTTTTTTCCGGCTCGGGGCTTTGCCGGAAAAAAGCGCCAGTCTAGACAGGGATCTTGCGGAAAATAAACCCTTTTCCGGAAGATCCCTTTTTCCTGATTTTAAGTAGGAATAAGGGATCTTCCGGAAAAGGGTTTATTTTCCGCAAGATCCCTGTCTAGACTGGCGCTTTTTTCCGGCAAAGCCCCGAGCCGGAAAAAAGCGGCAGTCATGTTCATGCAAATACCGCGGGGAAAATTTAAATCTCCGGGGCATTTGCAATTCCGAATGGTCTCATTAGCATCCCTTTTCCGGAAAAGGGTGCCAATGTAGACACAGCCAAAGGGTGCACTGTTGTATGGCAATAACACATTAATCCACAGTTTTACAGATGGGATTGATTTACTTTTCCAGTATGAGGCCAAATTATTTTTCTGTCACTGCTTTTCTTAAAAATAATGTCTCTCTAATGACTCAAGATTTTTAGTACTTTAATATAATAAAGGAAAATTGGCTCTGTATTCCTTTCCATGACTATAATGAGTGTAGATTTCCTCCTACTTAACAGTGCATTTTAATGAAGGATTATTACTACAGGTTGTACCTCCCTAATCTAGCACCCCCGGGACTGGACTGCTCCCAAATGAGAGATTTTTCCGGACCAGGAGAGGTCTTTTCTGGCCTCTCTGCTGACCGTCTCCCCCCTTACCTTGCTCATCCACCAGGCTTCCTTGATTCCCCTGCAACCTAGCTGAGCTGTGCACCAGCTCCCAGCCACCTTGGAGCCCACCTGAGCCGTATGCTAGCTCCTGCTCCCCGTCCCAGCCCGGGAGCCCAGTTGAGCTGTGTGCCCTCTCTCTGCATAGCGCCGGGCTCCTGGCCCCTCCAACAGTGCACCAGGACTCTGATCCTGGAACATCTGTGGTCCTTCCGGACCATGGATGTTGCAGGACTAGAGAGTTCCAGTTTATAGAGGTGCAACATCTAGGCAGTTCTACACCAGATGGGCAGGACTGGTATTACCATCTATTACTAGGGCTAACCAACACTCCTCATTATCAGCCTTTTTTCAGTTGCTTACAACTTTTCCAAACTAACTATTTGTGCTGAAGATGTCAGACAAAAGGGTGCAGATGTTTCCAAACCTGAAGTTAATGAAAAATACATTGTGTTGCCCCCAAAAAATTATTTTCTTTGAAATGCTCTGACATCCTCTGCTTTGGGGCAGGGACTTGAAACCTGGAAAAGAGGTGGCATTTGTGTTTGGGGTTAACTTTTTCCCATCTCTGTGATATCTAAATTTAACCAAATTATAAAACTTTTAAAATTACCTGTATTCAGTTGAGATTTAATAGAGCTTAATAATTAAAACCTCAGTAGATTCCCTCTTATTTGAGCATGATTGAGCCTCTTACAATCCCAGTGCTGACCAGATTGTACACTTGCCATCCCCACAAAGCAACTGAGCATGCTTCAGAACTACAGAGGTACTTTTTCTTTAACTGTTGGGGCCTGGAACTGACAGCAAGGAGGCTGTCTCTAGGGTGCTCTTAGCTCCTCTGCTGGTCTCAGGCAGAAAAGAAACAAGATGGAGTCTGCTCTGAATATAAAGCTGAACGCGAGGAAATGATAATAGTAGACTGCGACAAGCAGTCTGGTGATGATAAATAGAATGCCAAAAGAACATTATTAAGACGTCAAAGCCAACCTCTCAAAAGTCAGGAAATGTTTGCATTAACGTTGCCTGTGCAAGTCTTCTATACCTGACTCATCTCAAAGAAGAGGAAGAAACATAAACAATATACTTTCCTGCTTATCTGCTCTGTGTCACTGATCTTTATAACAGTTAAAATCAAAACGAAACTTGCACTTACTTCATTTTGTTTCCCAGAATCCTCCACTTCTTGTGGAATCAAATTATTCTCACTTTCCATTTCACTCTCATGGAAAGCTTTGATGCTGTCCTGGACCAAAGTATCAATAGATAATACCTGAATGTTGCAAGCTAACAGAGAGAAAACATTTTGGAAAGACTGTAAAGAGATTATTAAATGCAATTAAATTAATTGTGACAAGACAGCTTTATTAAATGCAGTGCACAATTCTTTTGGTTTGGTTTTATGTAGTGTTTGTTCCCACTGATACTACAGTCTATATCTCTTATGTTCTTTACTGAATACATTTTGAAGCAGTAAATGAAGCACAAAGAATTAACACTACACATTTGAATTCAAGAACTTTTCATTTTACTTTGGAAGGTGGAGAATGTTACACAGACTCAGATCTTGCAAATTCTACACTAAAAAGAAGTTCGAACGAAGATAGTTAATTAAGTTAATTATGTAGCTGGAATCAACATACCTTAATTCAAAATTTCCTGCTGTCCCCACAGCAGGAGGCTGATGAGAGCATTTGCTCCCATCAGCTTCCTTTACTCCTTAAAGGAGCAGGAGAACCTGCTGCCTACAGGGGTGCCCCCTTAGTTCGATTTAGCGATGTCTCTACAAGGCCTGCTAAATTGAACTCCGGATGATTGATAATGGCAGCATCGATCTTCCCCAGATTGAAGACATGGTCTGAGACACTATCTTTCAATGATCTCTAAATAGGTGCAGGGATCTGACCACAAAGAGCTTGTTGTAGAAGAAGAAATTACTCACCCTGTGCAGTAACGATGATTCTTCGAGATGTGTGTCCCTATGGGTGCTCCACTCAGGCAGCCAGGAGAGCTGAGGCACAAGCTAAGATCGCCACATCAACTGGTACCACTGAGGCAGCAGCTTCAGGCAAGCCACATATGCCTCCTCCATCAGCTCCTCTGAGCCCTCCCTCTGCACCCAATCTAACCGGGCTTGCCTGAAGCTGCTGCCTCAGTGGTACCAGTTGATGTGGCGAGCTTAGCTTGTACCTCAGCTCTCCTGGCTCCCTGAGTGGAGCACCCACAGGGACACCACTTGCTGAAGAACTGGGGCTTAAAAGAGTATAAGCAAATACATAAACAATAAAAAGTCAACAGAAAAAAAAACCTTCTACCTTTTTCCAAGAAGTTTACACAGGTGCTTTTTCCACTAAAAAGCTTTCCTAAAACACATCCCTGGATAGGAAATGGCGGAAATACAGGTGTTGGGGGTTCAGGCTTTGGAGGGTAGACAATGTCCATCAATCTATAAATCACATGACCCAATATATTATTATTAGATGGGGGTTTGCTTCCATTGTGCTCTTCAGGTGGGCACCACTCCCCTATCATACTCTGTATCAAAAACAAATCAGAGAATAATTTGTAACTATGCTTTGTATTTCATCTTTTCAAAGAAAAATATACAAATAACATTTTGCACTGCTATAATTCTGTATTTCATCTAAAAATAATCACAGGGATTCACATACATTAGTTAAAACTTATTAAAGTCTGTTTGAGATGGGTAAAATAATACATGCCTATTTTACAGACCAATAAACCCATTTTTATCTATTTAAATAAAAATTAAGTAATTTCAAATCAATAGCAAAGACAGTGGTAGAACTTAGAAGTTCTGACTTCAGTGTGACAGGGTCGGTCCCACTCCTGGGTCCCAGGCCCCTGTTTGGCCCACTATATTGGAGTTTGGGGCCATGATACAAGTCCCACTTGCCTTTTCCCGGTGTTTGGACTTCTGTCCCTGGCGCAAAAAAAAAAAAAAAAGGATTGTTGGGGCCGATACTCCTGGCCAGTCAGGGCTGAGTAAACAGTCCTCTTCAGCCACCAACTGAAGTTTCTGGCCACCTGCAGGGAAGGGAGCCTCCAAACACTCACTGTCAGAGGCTCCCCCTGAAGTCTTTGGCAGTGCCGATTTTGATCTGGTCAGCTCCTCTGATTCTCCTTATTAATTGTTAATTCTTCTCCAACTCCATCTTCACTTTCCACTGTCCTCTGCCACTGCAAAGCTTTTTAAAGAGGTCCCATGACAACCTGAAGTTGGCTCACCTGGTACTTAATTGATTTATAGTCACCCTGCCTCAGCTGTTCCTAATTAATGAGGGCCTTTCTCCCCTTCTATCAAGCCCTTTAACCTACACTCACAATAGTTAGGAAACTAAATTAATAGTGTTTTAAGGGAGAAAAATACCCATGAGAAACATGGGCCAGGTCTATACTTCAAACTTTTGCTGGCACAGCTACATTGGTCAAGGGTATAATGAGATATAATCTCTGATCAACACAGATGTGCTGGCAAAAGTGACTAGCAGAGATATTATATATGTGAAACTGCATTATTGCTGCTTGACTTGAGGGAGGGCTGGAATACTCAATGCTGACAAAAGTGTAGTTCTTCTGGTATAAACTGTGTTCAAACTAGGAGTACTTTGTTAGGATAGTATATCAGCAAAGCACTCCTAGTTTTGACCCGGCTGTGGTTGATACTAACAAAAATAAAAGGAATATTTTACTAGGAAATGGGATAATTCGAACTCTCTTTAAAGACTTATTGAGAAGACATCCCATTAACAAAGCTTCTAAACTAGAGGGGTGTGTCTAGACTACATCCCTCTGTCAGCAGAGGGATGTATATGAAGCACTTTGAAAGTGCAAATGAAGCACTTGGAAAGTGCAAATATCCCGCGCTTCATTTGCATAATCACATGATGGCGCTTGTTTGAAAAAGCGCTATTTTGAAATTGAAACTGCAGTCTAGATGCGGTTCTTTCGAAAACGGGGCACTTTTGAAAAGGAGGTTTACAGGATCTTTCGAAAAAGCACCCGTTTTCTAAAGAACCACGTCTAGACTGCAGTTTCAATTACGAAATAGCACTTTTTCAAAACAGCACCATTACGTGATTATGCAAATGAAGCGTGGGATATTTAAATTTGTACTTTCAAAGTGCTTCATTTACATCCCTCTGCCGACAGAGCGATGTAGTCTAGACACACTCGAGGATAAGTTTTGGCTTCCACCAATCTGGGCTAGATTTACACTTGTAATCTAATGGTTAAATACTTCATTATCAATCTTTCATGTAATCCAGTTCTCCTTCTGAGCACTATTGAAAAAAACACAATATATATACACATGAACATTACTGGAAAAATATAAAGTAATTTTTCCTATGTGTATTAACAGTGCATTTCACACTCTTCAAATATAAACCTGATTTGTACTAATTTTTACATGGAGCATCCCATAGAAACTGTAACTACATGTGATTATACATAACTGCATTATTAATGTAAATTAAAATGTTGCCTGTTTTTTAAAATAGCAATATTTATTTTGAGCTACCAAATGTGGCCTATAACACATCTCATGTGCAATATTTAAAAATCTAAGACTGACATACAATTTTTACTTTTTAACATGAAATTGAAAGGTATGTCAGAAAAATAATCCCTCATTTTCTACACCACTCTCCCTCAGTCAAATGTATAAAAGTAGACATGATCAACTTACTTGAGCTCTAAGAGCTCTAATATCTACAGGGCAGATGAAAAGCAGGTCTCTCATCCAAGGTACACAGGTGCATATGCTCCAATTGAGTTTATCTGCTAAAAATGGCAATATGGGCATTTCCGCAGAGGCTACACGCGGCACAGGGTCCGACCTAGCCGGCATTTAAAAATGGCGCCGGCCGGCTTTATGCAAATGAAGCCCGGGAAATTCAAATCCCAGGCTTCATTTGCAACTCCGTATGACTACATTACCCCCCCTAGTTCGAACTAGGGGGATAGTGTAGACATACCCCCAGGGAGGAGAGTAGGTGTCTGGGAAGCAGCTAGGCACCTGGGGAAGGGAAGCTGGGCTCCCAGCAGGGAGCTGCACAGAACTGAAAGCCCTGGCTTTTGTCCTGCCTGCCCAGTACTTCTCTTCAGCCAGCAGAAGCGTCCCTAGTGAGGACGCACACAGCCAACAAGAGGAGGATAATATGGACATCAGCCAATTTAGTAATTATAGCCACTGTGGCTGTAAGTCAACTTAACACAGGATTACTTAAGTCTGTGGTGCAGACCAGTGCTCCTTCTAATTTTTCCCATCACTGAGTGGAATGAATTTTGTTATGTGAAACAATATGGAGATGACATGTGACATGGAGGTGATGTGTGACAAATCACCTTTGTATTGGTGGACATCACAAAATTCAGGTGGCAGGAATGGGGCCAAAGGGTTCTGAATGTGGAACAGGGCTCAGACCTAGGGCAGAGGATTGGGATGCAGAATTGTCAGGTCTCCAGATGTGGGTGAAAGGTCTGGAGTGGGGCTGGGGATGAGGGGTTTGCAGTGCAGGGGGTTGGCTCCAGGACTGAGAAGTGCAAAAGCAACATGCAGAGCCCTGTGGTCCCCCTGCCTAGGAGAGCACCTGCTTCATTGGCTGCTTCCCTGCCAGCCATAGCTCCACACTGTGGCTGGTGAGGAAGAGCCCCTTAATAGCCTCATGCACAGGGCTTAATGGGAAACTGTGCAGCCACTCAGCTTAGTGGGAACTTAGGTGTAGACATTCTCACAGTCTTTCAGACAGCCAGGACCAAGTCATGTAAGGAAATATAGATCAAAGTTAGGATCCTGAATTGCACCTGGAATTTAACTACAATTCCATGAAGACTGACATTTTTCAGATAAAGAATTGCCTTGCTGAATCAGACCAATAGTCCATCTAGCCTAATATTCTGTCATCCAACAGTGGCCAATGCTAGGTGCTTCAGAGGGAATGAACAAAATGGGCAGGCAGCAATTCATCCCATTGTCCATTCCTAGCTTCTGGCAAAGAGAGGCTAAGTTCACTATCACTACACATCCTGGCTAATAGCCATGGATAGATCTATCATCCACAAATTTATCTTGTTCTTTTTTGAACCCTACTGTAGTCTTGGCATTCACAACAACCTTTGGCAAAGAGTTCCATATGCTGGTTGGCATTGTGAGAAGGGAAGATTACTCACCTTGTGCAGTAACTGAGGGTCTTCAAGATGGTTGTCCCTCTGGGTGCTCTACCTTAGGTATTTTTGCCACTGAGCCTTTAGTCACAGAATTATGATAGCAGTGCCTTTGGTAGGCTGTGCACATGGGGCAGCCAATACATGCCATTTGGAGTGGCTACGCCACATGCACAACCAACTGTCCCTTCAGTTCCTTCTCTGCCCCAGTAATGAAACATTCTAAAGTAGAGGGGAGGAAGAATGGGTGGTGGAGTACCCAGAGGGACAACCACCTTGAAGAACTTAAGTTAATGCACAAGGTGAGTAACCTCCCCTTTTTCTTTGAGACGTGTCCCAGTGGGTGCTCCACCTTAGGTGATTATGAAGCAGTAGACTTGCTTGGTGAAGAGAGCTTCAGTAAGTTTATGTAGACAGTTGATAGTACAGTGCAACCACATTGTGTGTCAGAGGATGGATAGGTCTCTTTGGGCTTATGCTTAGTGAAAGTATGTGTGGATGCCCAAGTGGCAGCTCTGCAGATGTCATTCATAGGCACATTTTCAAGGAAAACTGTGGATGTCACCATTGCCCTTATGGAGTGGGCCCATACCTCTGTTAGGGGCTCCTGATGGAAAATGCTGTATGCGGGGCAGATGCATCCAGAGATCCATTTGGAAAGTCTTTGTTTTGAAATGGGCATGCTTTGGGATCTTTCTGTGGAGGAAACAAAGAGCTTCGGAAACTTCTAGAAGCTTGTAAGCAAAAGGCAATTGTCCTGTGGACATCCAGAGTATGTAAGGTCGCATCCATTTTGTTAGTATGAAGCTTGGGAAAAAAGACAGGTAAGTATATAGGTTCATTTCAGTGGAAAGAGGTAGGTCCTTTTGGGAGAAAGGAGGAGGATGATCTCTTGTGGAAGATAGCATAAAGATGGTCCATCATGAGGGTCCCAAGCTCACCTACCCTGTGTGCTGAAGTGATGGCCACTAGAAAGGATAAGTGTAACAGTGAGCAAGTAGCCAGGGGTTTGAACAGTTTGCCCTTTATATTAGATTTAGGTCCCAAGTGGGAGTCGGGTCTTTTATCGGGGGTATGTATCCTGAAGTCCTTTCAGGAAGCACTTGACAGTAGGGTGTGCAAACACTCAGTAATCTTCAAGGGGGGGAAAGAAGAGGGGAGTGCTGCTATCATGGCCCAAAGGGAGAGTCCCATGTTCTTAAGGAGTAAAGATACTCAGGTATTTGCGGGAGACCAGCTGATGTGAGTAAGATTTGTTGGTTATCACATCATACAGTGGAACAGTGCCATTTGTGTAAATATGTTTTTCCTGTAAATGGCCTATGGCAATTAAAGATGATCTCTTA